TAACATGAACAGCGATTATGCTTAGACAACGAATTGAAGAGCGATTAGTGACAATGTCAAATAATGTGTCGAGATCCTTCTCATCAAACGAACATTCTTCAAATTTCAGTTTTACAATGTTAAAACCTTTTTGAAGAGCATCGCATAACATCCTAACCTTTTCGTTTGTCATGTTTTCTTGACTTACAACAGTCTCATAGGTTCTTTCATCATATTTACCTCCCATGGTAACAAAACTGTTAATATATTTAGGCGTTTCTTGATGGAAGCTAATTTCATCGTAGTGTTTGCTACAAACCCAGCGAACATGACCATCGACGGTGACTGTTGGATGTAAGTTACCGAGACTATTACTGTCAACAAGTTCTAGATAAGTTTCAACTTCATTTAATTCTGTGTCCAGAAGTGACACTGCCATTGAGTTCTCTATACCAGTCATTGAAGGATCTGGACCAGCGCATTTACTGTCGAATTTATTGATTAAGGCTTTAGCCAATTTAAATTTCTGTTTTGCGCTTTCATCGTCCTCTGGCATGTTGGACTTGGACGATGACATATTATTGACATCAGATGACACATTTTCCAGCTGTGGAAGTTCAAAATGTCCAGCTAAGAGCAGAATTTGGACAATATTTAAAGTTGTTCTCAAAAATGATCCATATCTCACCAAGAAGTGTCTCGTATTTTTAATTAAATAGCCATCATGAGGAGCGACATGCATTTCACTTGGTTTATGCGAACATTCACATAGAAAATAGAGTTTATAATGGATTTGAAGCCAGTTCTGCATGCTGTTGATCAACTCCGACTCGCCTAGCTTCGCCGATAAAATGAAAAAATAGCGAGGTGTGGTAAAGTCGTGCAACTTACACATCTCCTTCATCACTCCCATAATCTGATCCAAAATCTTTTGCGTAATGACGTCGTTAGGAATGGTGTTGTATATATTCAGATCTAGGCAATCAGAAATATCATCATTGGAATGTCCTATAGGCTCTAAAGCTCCAAAAATCTGTAAACGCCTCTAACAATGTGCAATGGCTTCATGTTACAGGTATGAGTGTATGTGTAAATAGATGTCAAAGGATGACCGATACTCATATTCCAAAATAATTCTCTTCTCAATATTTCTAAATATAGTCATTACGAATTTGCTAAGAGTGACGGTAATATTTTATCTTTTTTCTGTATTACAAACTAGCGTAGCCTCCTATATAATAGAAAAAATATTGAATGAACTAACACATAAAGAAAAATATGCAGATCAGAAAAATTCATTTATTGCATTGTATGGAGAAGCGATTGATATTAAAAGAAAGATTTGATATAGAAAGATGCCATAATATAACGAGAATATACACAAAAGTCTTTTGCAATTAGTTTCAGCACGATCTATGTCGGAGCTTGACAATTCTATTCAAAAATAATAATCATTTCAAGTCAATATAGATCGGATATTGAATAAATCGATGTGGATTGTTTGTTTGTCAAAATTACTCGACTCTGCTCGAAATACCAATAATATTTAACCATGATTATTTCTGAAAAGTTCTATTTATGACACAAAATATGATATTTGAGCTCATTATGTCGATGATGTTTTATTAAAAGAAATCAGAAGAAAACAAATCGATATAGTAAACTTGTATTGGTCACTATTTAAAAGTGCAATTCGTCGTAAGAAGAAAAAATGACTCTAAATATCAATATGATTAGTTTTGATGTTTATTTTCCTAAATTTTTTTTCCGTAGAGAAAATCAATGAAATGATTGATTTTCGTAAAAAACGTACAGCATAGGTTAACATGCAATGTAAACAGTCGACAAATTTCTAGCTTGAAGGTCATCGACAAGTGTTAGTTTTCAAGTGAATGAAATAAATTCGAAAACCAAAATATATCAGTAAATATATAGAATTTGGAATCTGTCTTCTATTCACCTATAATTAAAATGAACTCTTGTAAAATATGCCCTGAATTGTATTGATCTCTATTCTAACATGAAAGAAAATGATGAACTAAACGATTTTGCGATGAACTCTTTTCATGTTCTTATTTAAAAGATTATACAGATTCCAATGGTCCATCATATAAATCATAATGTTGCCACTAAAATCTCTATGGAAAAAAGTTAAATACGGGGCCAATTGATTACCTTTATACACGTTTACACATAAAATGTGAAAGACACTTAGCTTAACCGTGATGTTCACGCAATGACGTACTCGATTGGTTTAGGAACATTTAATTAAAATCAATGATTCCTCTGTTCTAGTCTCTGTCATTGCACAATCCCAAACATAATCATAAGTAAGAACACTTGTTCTGTTGATATAACTTAAAAAGAAGCAGACCATCACGCAATATTGGCGATAACGCAACACCAATACGTTAGAACAAGATAGTTTTTCAAAAAAAAGGCACACGTTCCGAGACAAATAAAACGCAATCGTTTGGTCGTCATTCTTAAACACAAAACTGTATGTTTGATGAGAAAACAATCGCAACTATGGTAGTATTCTACAAAGAACGCAGGAAAAACAAGCCTCTTATTCATCAGCAAATGACAATAAAATGACTGCAAAGTTATAGTTTGTTCCTGAGTTTTACTTGGCATTTAATCAGATTATCAACCTCTAGTAGTTCGATTTACGTTTAAAAGTCAGTTTTGAGAATCATTCGACTCATGATGCAAAAATTCAATACATCGCGCTATAATTCCTACTCGAAATAACGCCAGAGCACAATATTTCCCGAAAATATACAATCCTCGCATTCTTTTTATTTCAAACATATCGACATACTTTTTCTGACATATCATGGTAGAAATGCATAGATGATGAAAATCTCATTCTCACAAGCGACATACGCTGTCTTTTCATAGAACAATTGTGTATCTTCACACGTTTGACTTTAAAAAAAAATGAGAAAAATCCCTCGAAAAATGATCATATCATCTATTCTCACTTTCAAGACGATAGCCAACGGAACCCTACCTTTATTTGCTGAAGCCTTAATTTCCGTATCGGGTATCTAAAAGTATGAGACGCTAGATGAATATTCATTTTCTAGAATGATTATTGTCTGACCTTTGGGATGGTAGCACTAGTGACGGCTGTTGTTGCAGTTGTATCATTCTATGAAAGAAAGTGAATGAGTATGAAAAAAGGACACTAAGAAATTGTTCGAATTACTTTAAGTTGATTGGAGTCTGTCTCTTTTTTTGCTTCGACTATACCAACAGCAGTTGTTGTCAAAGTGTCTGTAATTTAAAATAATTATTTATTTCTTACGAAATGTTTAGTTCCATTGTCGATCAAAATTAGTATTCTTTTATTTTTTTGATGACCTACACAAAGTAGAGACGCATGTCACCGACAAAAAGAGAAAAAATACAAACTTCTCTCAGGATTAATTATTAGTATAGCTCGATCACGATCTATCAATTTTTTTTTTTAGTTTTCCTTAAATTTTGTTTTATCCTGCAGATAAATAAAGCTTTTCTGATGGCAGACATAAAATAAGGCGAACTTTTCAAATATCTGACCGTGTATAGCAATTTTCATCATCATCCTCATCCTCATTCAATTTCGTTGCAGAATCAATTACACGATCAGAATCGACACATAAACCTATATCAGATCGAGCAATGTTCAAAAACTGAGAAAATAATAATTCCTAATTTGTAGAGTCCCTATCAAAATCTCTATGATAGTTTGTTGGGAAGATAGAATTGGCCATTAGTTTTCTTATAGTTCCCCCGTTCATGAAGTTCGAAGTAATGCTTTTTGTTGAAATTGTCTTTGTACACACATTCATGTTCACGCATTTCTACGGAACTGCATGAATACTGAGAAGAATCTCCTATTCTTCTGTTTTTGCAATCCCTCTCCCCTTTAACGTCTATTTTCCTTTAAGTGCTTCGTATGAGTACATGTTTTGATCTGCTTTTTTTATTTTGACGGACTAGATACATCCATGTACATGTAGCGATCCAATAGATAAGATTCTCCTCTTTTTACTGCACATTCGATTAGACAAAGAAAAAGTATCCATACTAGTTTTGTCTTTTTTGTCTCATGTGGAAACTCAAATATAAACAAAGAAAACTTTGTAAATCAATACTATTTCATTTTCCTTCTATATGAAGTGATATATAATAGTGTTTGACATATTGACCAACTGACTTCGTTATGAAAATTTAAAAAGAAAATTTATATATTTGAATCTCCTTGACCATATGACTTTCGAGAAGAAAACTTTGTTGAAACCTAAATCAGTTAGAGCGTGGGTGTGGGGTGATGTGGGGTGAGGGTGCGGGTGTGGATATTGTTCTTCTGTTCAACCCATACCCACACCCATATCCACTGATCTGTATGATAAAACGGCAAAATTATACTTCGAAATATTTTTGAATGGTTCAAAAACTAAAAATTCTATACGATTGCGTCTTGATCATGAATGCGAACTGATTTCTGTCATGAGGTCAATCAGTAAATGATAAATATTGTTTTAAAATAGCCAAGAAGGGATCTGAACTTATATTAATATAATATTAATAAAAGCATATGAGATTGAACATCTTGGTCATTATTACTCAACAGATGTGAGGGAACAGAGGTAGATGATGTTACAAGTATTAAGGATCATGCTAGCTATCATTTCAACATTCTTTGAACACGTATGAGTATTGACTTATAAACAATATTTTTATGCATCACTCATTAGAAACATTTAGAATACATTGACTATAATCATTATGCTTAGTATTTATTTTCAGATTCAATAAAAAAGTGACACATATTCATATTAACTTAAATAGCTGACTCTTATATAATAATATCTTTGATTCGCTCAACATTATTGTCATGATATAGAAATAAAGAAAGGAGAAAATCAATGTCAGTGTTATCATAAAAAAATGTCTCAAGACAATCGTAGGAGAAGATAAGAATTAAAATTAGAGTAGATGATAGTAAACACTTCTGTTGGTTTAATCTTAATCGCCTACTATTTCGGATATCTGAATTGGATTTTAATAAGTCAAAACAAGGATTTCTTAATGGAATCGATAATGGCTTTTCATAAACTTCTCCTCTTTGGGTTTTTCAATTGCTTTTTTTCTAATAATATGTTAGTTGTTGCATAGTATTCACATTTCAATTCAATAGGCTTTCTTTCGGTAAACTTACCAATAGGATTGCTTGCTTCTTTAATACTGGAAGTTGAAGTTAATTGATTTTGGCTTTTGAATGCGGCTGATTGCTTATACCACTGGATACTAGTATTAAAGTCACCGATCTGCGATGCTAGTTTGCCAAGATCATCATACAAAGTACCAAGTAAAGGATCGTTTGGCGAAAGTTCTTTTAACAGACGAGTGAAATATTGTTTAGCTAAATCAAATTTTCCCATTTCCCATAATATTTTTCCTAATGTTCGAAGATTTGTTTCTCCACTAACGAGCTGCTGTTTCATATACATAAGAACTTCTTTTAAATCATGTTCATCATCGCTGCACAATGTCATATGGATGATCCAGTATGAATCATCTTTACTGCAATTGACGCTGTTTAAACGAAAAATGGAACCAGGCATAAAAAGTATTTCTGATTCGCTAGGAAATTCACTAAATGCACTGATATCAGCAAATGGTTTTGCAGCGACTATATTAGGATCGGCATCGATTTCATATAATACTGGTACTAATTTGTGTGCAGCATCATCAACATTGAGAAATGGCAGAGCTACATTTTTATCCTTACTGGTGGAAAAAAATGAATTCACTGAAATAAACTGATTGAGACGTCGTTTCAAATTTTGCAGTTCATCACTTGATATCTTTTGTCCTCGATAAACTTGTAAAGGATTTTTAGCTTGACAGTTTTTTAATTGATTATACATGTCAGAAATGTATGCACGAAGTAAAAACATCAAATGATAATCTTCGGTGCGTAGAGCTTTATTAAGAGTCTTGAAAAAGAATGACTGTCGTGTATACCACATTAACACTTTGTCAGATGAATAATACTTTTCAAATTCACGAAGATAATTCAATTGCATACTATCGCCTCTGTATTCCTGTTCACAACGATCAATAAGTTCTTTCTTATCTTCAGAAGTGTATTTTAGCTGTAGAAGACAATCCATGAGAACTTGAGAGAAAACAAATTTACCATTTAGACCAGTCATTGATTTATCAAAAAAATTAATTGTTACTGATTCTTCTACCATTTTCTGAGTTTTATGATCAGCTTTAATTCGAGAGATGAGCTCATTAGAGTCATCAACAACAGCTTTTACCTATTAACAGAAACTCATGAAATAAAACCATAATTGTTCAGAAAAATTTTACTTTTGAAAATTTCTCAGCCCATGGTTTGTTACTATCTTTATCGCCACAATACACATAGATTAATATAATTTGTTTAAGTTGATGAATAGAAGGAACAATTTCTTGTCCCAATCGACCACTAACAATCATTATTAATCGATCTTTCTGTGATTGTTCTTCAATATATTTCTGACATTGTTCTATATCTTGAAACGTCTCCAAGCGTTTAATAATAGAATTCAATTTTTGTTTTGTATCTCGGTTCTCTTCAGTGTTCACGTTAGCATCGAGCCAGATAAGACAAAACGTTTCGATATCTGGATCATCAATCTTTGTATGAAGGTCATCAATTGGTAGAGTAGGAGTGGGCATGTTTATCAGGCTACTTGAATAGGATAGTAGTTACGAAGGCTGTCGTTCTGATCTAGTTTTCGAATGTATGAGTATCGTTTTTCAATCTGAAATAAATGTTAAATGGTCACTTTTATTATTTTATTTATTAGTATGTATGATGCAATGCAAGAGAATGGAAGGACAAGATGCTTGCATTGGTTGGAGACACTAATTTTCTTTTGATCTTTAGATTTTATCGGTAAGATTGTTGAATTGAGATAATTTGAAACATTTTCGTTCAGTCATGTAAAGTGAATATAAACAAGATGATATCATCTCAGATTAAGTTGAGCACTGTCAGTTGATAGTGTGTAAATTTTTAATTGCAATTGGTATGAATCATAATCCTCACTTTTTACTACAAAAATACCAAAATGTGGATTCTAATTTTCATTCTCTAAGTATTACTATTATAGATCTTCCATCCAGATTGCTGTCAGAAGAATAGAAGATGTTCTTTTTTCTTGAAATATTTTCCTAAGGTCGAAAATATTTCACAAAAAAAAATTGTCTTCATTCTCTTCGCCTATGACATCTACTCGTGAGAAGAAGGAATCTTTTCTGTATATGAAGTTTCTTCTGTCGACTATATTGATTTTAAACCTTCGATGAAATTCTAATCATATTTTAGATCGATGTACGAAATTAACAACAATTGTTTATCTGATATTTTCGCTTTCATTCTGACGCATTGGCGCGTTGTTCCATGTCTCTTACTCTTAAATAACGCATTTTTTGTCTGATTCGAAAATTTTCACCGTAATCTCATCAATTGTTATTAACTTCGAAGTCTGGTTTTCACACATCGAGGTTTAGCTATGTGACCAGCAGCTTCTCTCTCATCCTAATAGAATGATATTTACGAGAAGGTATTCGCTATCGTCATCACAGCTTGCTAAATGATTCCAGGCTCATCATTAACAACTACATTTTAACAGCATCGGTTTAATAATTTACTTTCTCTTATGAGACGTCCAATTATATTATACTGATAGTTTGAGTGTAATCTCTAGAATTAGTTAATATGATGAATCGAATGGGACAAAAGAAAGTAAAGTAACACTATAATACACACAATATAGCTTGAAATTGTCATGTATAAAAATATTAATCAAACGTGAGATAAATACAGAAAAGTAAGTCAACCAGAGGGAGTTAAGTGGCAAATACATATATATATAAATCTGTCGATCTGCTACGAGAACAATGCATCATGAATTTCGATTCTATGGTTTCCTGCATTCTTTCTAGTACTTTAATCATATTTGCGCTATGTACTTCTGCGACTGTAAAATTACTTGAATTTATTTTTTAAATCATTCCTACAAGTTACTCACCACAGTAAAAGAATTTTCACTGAAATAGTCGTGAAAGCTTCAATGGCACGTTTCTGTCGATTTCAGCTTATCTGATGTATGTAATACGACTTGTTCTTTCTTCTTGAATGCTTCGTGTGTCACTTTTGGACGATAAGAACACTTTAATTTTCTTATCTTTCATTTTTTTTTGCTTTATTTCAATATCTTTCGATCATAAACTTTGTTGAGAACGACTGTATTTGTCAAAAGAAAGACATTGAAGATAAGTAACACACCATAAATGGATTCAAACAACCAAAAACAAAACGTTCTCGTGCAAGCAAATTCATTTCGAATAGATTATGCAAAAGAATATGAATTTCTTCATGAATGGAGGACATGCGCGTTATTTCAAAGTGCACAATGACTAACAATGGTCAACTTCATTCAGTATATATTT